ATGTTTAGGGGTAGGTTTTAGAGTTGGTGTTAGGATTAGAGGTATGATTATGGTTAGAATTTAGGGTTAAGGTTTAGGGTTAAGTTTAGGATTAGGTTTAGGGTTTAGGGCAAGGGTTAGGGTTAGTCGGGGTTAGAGTTAATGTTAGGTTTAGGGGTGGGGTAGGGTTTAGTGTTTCTTTTAGAGTTAGGGTTAGTGTTTAAGGATAGGGTTATGGTTACAGTTTAGGGATAGGGTTGGTTTTGGGGTGAGGATTAGGTGTAAGTTTTAGGGTTGTGTTTAGGGTTAAGAGTATGCTATGGTTAAAGTTAGGGTTGGGTTTAGGAATAGGTTTAGGGATAAGGTTAGGGTTAGTTGGGGTTAGGGTTAGTGTTAGGTTTAGGGATAGGGTTAGGGTTAGGGTCATGTTAAAGGAATGGTTAGTTTCGGTTAGGGAGCCTGCAGAGCAGTTGTGCCCATCCTGAAAGCAGGACCCAAGCAGGAGCTGAAGATGAATGTGTGGGAGTGACTTTGGCATTCATGTTAGTTTCCTAACATTTAAAGTTTTTCTTAATACAGAAGCAAAATGTTTGTTATGGGAAAAATCAGCAAACACAAGGCTTTCCACCCACTCAGAGAGCTCTATCAAGATGTGAGCAGGGGTAGCTTTCCAAACCCTGTTTGTGTGTGTGTGTGTGTGTGTGTGTGTGTGTTTGCCTTGCATGTGAGTGAAAAATGGGGTGAGGCTGCACGTACTGTCTCATAACCTCCTCGTGTACTTGCCGATGGGTCTTGGTATGGTTCTGTGGGACTAGTTTTGGATCTGCAGGTTCTGTTTTATGGGTATCTCTTGAGTCCAGGTAGTACAAGGGCTGGGAGATGGGTGTGCTGAGTCAGACTGCCTGGGTAGAATCAGAACTGTAGGTACTGAAGGTACATGACTGAACTCCTTTAAGGTATTGATTTACTCATCTGTGAAATGGGGCTCATAAAGGTTCCTATAGCATAGGAAAAATTAAATGGGATGGTATTTATAAACCTTGAATGTGTTCCTTTGCAAAGTGCTGAGTGTTTTGTAAGTGCTAACTTCTGCTGTGATCACGTTTTTGGATATAGAGTGTCCCTCTATCCAGTTGTGCCAATATTAATGCCCTGATTACTTCCTGATGGATGATTTTTAATCATGTGCTCTTGCAAACAAAACAGTGTTGGTTGACAGAAATTCTTGTAGCTCAGTTTTGAAGTAGTCTGTTAAATTGAATCCGGGATCACTGGGCTATGGGATAGGCCTATTTTTAAGGCTTTTCATAAAACTGCCCTCCAAAAAGAATGCATTTTATTTTTTAAAAAATATCTATTTATTTACTTGAGAGGCAGAGTTATACACAGAGAGAGGGAAAGACAGAGACAGAGGTCTTCTATTCACTGGTTCATTCCCCGATTGGCCACAATGGTTGGAGCTGGGATGATCTGAACAGGAGCCAGGAGTTTCTTCCAGGTCTCCCATGTGGGTACAGGGTCCCAAGCACTTGGGCCATCTTCCACTGCTTCCCCAGGCCCTCAGCAGGGAGCTTGATTGTAAGTGGAGCATCTGGGACTTGAAGTGGCACTGATATGGGATGCTGGTGCCATAGGCAGATGCTTAACCTACTATGCCACAGTACCAGTCCCAATACGTTTTATCTTGAAAAAGGGATTTCTTAATTACCAAGTGTGAAATACTGATTTTCATTATCAGAATATTTCTAACATATTTGTTTCAAGAATCTATGAGTTAATTATGTGGAGTCTAAAAGTCCTAGAGCTTGTGAGTCTGGCATTTTAATAGGAAAAAGTCACTGGTCCTAAAACACAGCCCCAAGTTCCACTACTACTTGAGCTGGACCAGAGGTCAGGTGTTCCTCAATCTAACAGGGGTGCTGGTCTTTAGTCTGCAAAATACAGCAGTTGTGTCTGCACAGATGGAGCTGACCACAGTTTGTGTGTGAGCTCCCCTGGAGCCATGGGTACAGGAGAGGATGGAGGGGGGCCTTGGTCTCAGGTGGCTGTGGGAGAGGCTGTGCAACTGGGCAACCATGCAGTTGGCCCCCAACACACCTGCAGGGCACAGACTCTGCTGAGCCTGAGCTGGGTGGCTATGCAGCCACGGTAGGGTGGTCCTGGGGCAGGGAATCCCATGCATTGTGCCACCGTCTGCTTCGAGAAGTCCCCTGTGGTATAGGGAAGGACGGTACATATGCCCTGCCTCTTGAGGTACAGCCCCCCACCCCGTGTTTGTGTGTGTGTGTGTGTGTGTGTACATCCCAACAACCATTGGTGGCTAAGCTGACTTCTACAGATACAGGTGGGGGGGCACAGAGCAGGAAGGGGGCAGAAGCAGGACCTTATTCCTGGAGGGTGCAGAGACTTGGTGATTTATATATTCTGTTCACATTTACTGAGAACCCACTGTGTTAGGGTCTGCAGAAAGAGCTGGGGACCTGAGGTGACAGAGGCAGGTGTGTGTCTGTCCCTAAGTAGCTCAGTCTCTAGTGGGTTATGCAGTAGCCACAGGGGTTGATGGGAGGTCCCACAGAGGCAATGTGATAGAGGCAAGCTGGTGCCTGCGACTCGTCAGATGGCTTACTGGAGGAAGCGACCTGGTGTTGGGCTTGAAGGATGAGCAGTTGGCCGATTAGGGCCCTTCGTCATCCTTGCTGCTCACACAGGATCTTCGGGGAGCAGTCCCTGCCCCAGGTCCTTCTCTGACCCAGGATCTCATGTGGCTATACCTGGTCTTGGCCCTCAGACATCCCAATGGCTGTATCCCAGGGTCCTTGCCCTGGCCTCACCCTTTGCAGGCTGTGGTCAGGCAGCTGTCTGTCCTGTTGCCCCTGCTCCAGTGTTCGCTTTCCAGACCTAGCTGTGCTAACACCCTTCCGACTGCAGCCACTCCATGTCTCGCTCAATTTCCCTGTGCCCACTGTGCCTGCAGCAGCCTCACGACACCCTGTGTTCCTGTTTACCTGGGGGTATACTGTAAGAGTCTCTGCTCTGCTGGTTCTCTCAAGATTGGCTCTGTGTCTTCTCACTGGTGCTTGGCTCAGAGCAGGACTCATTCCTGGCTAAGTGGAGGTGATTACCAGGAGAGTGGTTTTCAGGAAGCCCCCAGGTATGTGGATGGACACCACACTCTCAGTCTCCTGAGCGGATGTGGCTTGCTGGGCAAGGCTGTTTCCTGTCCTGGAGCTGGGAGACAGACACATCAGTGTCTCTTCTCTTACACCTCCCACTCACTTCTTTCCTTTGCTGGTCCCCATTCGGCACAGTCCTTCACACTGCCTGCCTGCCCAGAACCTTGTCCCAGGTACTGAAGGGCTAGGGTCTCCAGAACAACTCCTGCATTTGTTGTTTTTTTTTTTTTCCCCAATAGCATAGAAGATGTGTTACAATTTTGTTTTTATTTTTTAAAAAGATTTATTTAAAAGACGAGCAACAGAGATCTTCCATCCACAGTTTCACTCCCCAAACTGCCACAACAGCCTGGTCTGGGCCAGGTTGAAGCCAAGAGTCAGAAACTATCCTGATCTCTCATGTGGGTGGGAGGGCCCAAGCACTTGTGCCGTCTTCCACTGCCTTGCCAGTTGGAATAGCAAGGAACTAGATCGGAAGCGGAGCATCACAGACTTGATCTGGCACTCCAATATGGGATGCTGGTGTGGCAAGCAGCAGCTTAACCCGCTGCACCATGTAGCCCCGGGTTTTGTTGTTGACACTGGGATTGTTCAGGGATGCTGAGTTTCTCAGCCCGGAGGAAACCTCAGGGACAGCTGGGTGGGACTGAATTAGGCTTACGGCAGCCCGGGGGCAGCAGAGTCCCTGCCACCCAAATGGGAGTGGAGGATGCTCTGAGACTTCCCCCACACAGGGGACAGAGCATCAGGTCCCATTTGTTCCGCCCTTTCTTCACTCAGCAACACCCCTGCAGATGACATCTTTGCATCGTGAAGCAAAATTAATTCCAGAGAAAGCCCTCCATGTAAATGAGAAAAAAGGTCTCAAAGGACAACGCAGGGGGAAATTTTCTTAAATTCATACAAGAATGGGCCTCCTTGGCAGCAGTCAAGGAGATGCGCATCAGTGCTGCAACATCGTGGCACTTTGGTTTTGGTGCTACCCTTTAAGGAAATGTTTATTTTTAATAGTTACATCCAAACAAAATAAGGAAGGAGCACTTTCATAAGCCTTGGTTGTGTGTTGTCCCTACAAGGGTTTAGGGAAGGTATACTTAGAGTGTGTGTCCAGAGGGATTGAAGTAAATCACTTGATCCCATTTATCCACCTCAGAAAGTCTCTTCAAAAGCCAGTGGTGGAGAAACGCCACATGGAATGATGTGCCTTGGTAAAAACAGTTACCCTGAGTGCCCAGACCGGGGATGAGGAAACCATGGAAGAGCTCATTGCAATGCTGTGGTGGTGTGAAGACACGATTGCAGGCCCTGGGCTTCCCAAGGAGAGAGCAGGGCTGTGCAGACACTGGTGACAAGGATGTCATCAGCCCTGCATAAAGGATGGTGAGGAAAGTGACGCTCGCCATCCTCTCTGAGTAGTGTGGCCCTGGGCATGGATTGCAAGCTTCTCTGCTCCCTTCCCAACTCATCAGAACGTCCTTAGAACAGAAACTCAGGAGCATTCAACTCAGAGAGGCCTTGGCAGTTTAGGTCAGTCACATGCTGAGGGCCCAGGCTCCATCTTCAGAGCTGCCCCCTTTTGCTTGACACACATCAGTTTACCCCTGCTGATATCACGCCGTCGTCTTCTGCCTTGCTGTGTCTCCACCTCTCCTGCCAGGCCAGGCCTCATGTTCTCAGGAGGGTCCTGGAGCTGCCCATTGCTGGCCTGCTTTACAGCCTGCTCACCACCCAGCCTCTAGCCACACCCTTTAATTCTTGAGTTTCTAGAAAGCTCCAGGTGCTTCTCAACTCGAGGCTTTGAAGCTACCCATTCTGCTGGGAAAGTTCGTCCTCTCCCCTTGGCCGGCCGGTTGTGCCTGTTTACTTCGAACCTGCAAAGGTGTTGATTTGCAGGGAGGGAAGCGTTCCTGGACAGTGAATATCTTGCTGTCTCCCAGCCAGGGAGAGGCCCTGCTGTCTGTCTGTCGCCTCCTTTTCTCTCTGATCATTCCTTACACTTACAAAGTCTTGTTCAAGGTCTCCCCCATCAGCCCCTGAGCTCTGGATGGCAGAGGTTGCTCTGTATCTCATTAACTGTCCCATGTGGTCATAGGGCTTGGCAAACAGAAGGTGCTCAAAGAAGGCACGCCTGGATGGATGACGAGCGAATCCGTGTGCATCACGATTTTGTGTCAAGAAATTAGATCCTGCAATCAGAATTACTGTCTTGGAATCCTGGCCTACCGCTCTGTGCCCCTGCCCCTTCTCATGTAAAAAGAGGAGGAGGAGGATGCTGATAATAACAGTAGTAGCATTAAGTAACACTTGGACTTGATGAGGACTAGAGAACCCTCCAGGGTAGGCATGAAGTGCAGGTCCCTGTCATGTTGCACATGCCCCGTCTGTGTTTACTCCTGTTTTGTTTCATGGTTATTGAATGTCCAGAGCTTGCCCCTCCTCTGTGGTGTGCTTGGCCAGTTCCTTTGCTTTAGCATTTACAGGCTGCTCAATTGGCACTTCCTCAGGGGCAAAGCCTGCTCTGGATGCTGCTCTAGTGGTCATTTCTTTAATTCTCAAAACAACCTCCTGGAGTAGACCATCCCCATTTCACAGGGACTGGGTCGGGACTCTGCCCCGTGTAATTGGCAAGTGACAAAACAGGGATTCCATCCGAGCAGTATGGCTCTGGGGTCCTGACCAGAATGGCGGCTGCAGGCTGCCTGCCTCCTGGAAGTAGGGGCACCCTCCCCACTCCTGCCTGTCTTCACCGCGCCTCCCCTTCCCACCACGCTGCTGCTATCTGATCCTCAGCTCCTTTCCTTGGAGGCTGTCCCAGGGTTTGTGCCCAGCTAGGGTGGCCAGATTTAAGCAGGATACAGGATAAATTTGTTGGGTCAAACTTATGCTAAAAATTATTTGTTGTTTATCTGAAATTCAAATTTAACTGCACGTCCTAGACCAGCGCCAAAGGTGGTCTGCAGCCCTTCCGCAGTAATCTTAGATACACAGACTTGAGCTCCCAAGGGTCTGTCATGGGCCAGGCTTAGGGAGAAGAAGGCTGGAAGAAGCACCGTTCTCTCTCTTATAGGGTAGAGTGGGCATTTGTGCTGTAATGGGGAAGAGAAGGGAGACTGACAGGCAGGAGTGGGGGGAAGATGTTCTGGGTGGAGGCCACAGCTTGCACAGAGGCTCAGAAGTATGGAAGGTCAGGGGTTCCCCAGGACCTTGAGAGAGCACTAGGGGTGGAGGGCAGGGCTGCTGGTAGGCAGAGGTGTGAGGGGGAAGTGGAGTTTAGCTCCCACTTTTGCAGGGCTGTGAACGCCTGAGGATTGGGCTGCATCCAGAATGTCTCAGGGACACACTCGGAAGTTCCCTGTGGGAGGCTTGCGTGGCTGGTTGTGGCCTCCCTCTTGGTGGTGGGTGAAGGAAGGGTGGCAAAGGGGGTTCTGAGGCGAGAGAAACCTTGGTCAAGGGAAGTCTTTGGAGGTCAGGAGATCAAAGCTTTATCTCCCCATTCCTGGAATTCTTTGCCTTCAGAAAACACAAGACAGAGATGGAAAAGGAAGGTTGGTTCTTCGTTCTGTTTGTTACCAAGAGGGCAGTATTGGCGATACTGGCATTTTTATGTTTGCTAGTCTCTGTCAGTGGGGTCTCCTGCTCCTGGAGGAAGCAGCACAGCCGGAGGGAGGAAGTAATGGGCTTGGGGTGAGGGGTTGCAGCTCCTTTGCTTTTAAATCAGTGTTTCAGGCAGCCCCTGTAGGAGGTCAGGGTCAAGGGTACTGTTCAGAGGATTTACCTGCCAGTCGAACACTACCCTTAATTAATCTTGTACGAAGAAAACTTTTCAAGGAACTGTTTGAGTTATGTTGCAGTCTTCTGTCTTAGCAGCTAGGCCTTGCTTCTGAACACGACCAGGTTCTTAACGGTGAGCGATTTAAGGCCGTAAAAGAATTGTCATAAACAGCTCCCTGGAGCCAAGAGCACAGCCCAGATTTTAAGCACATAATGGAATCATATCAAAAGCAAGGCGGGGCGGCAGGAGCCATAAATCCTCCAAGTGCAAAATCTGTCCATTGTGAAGCTTGCACTGAAGGGAAACCAGATGTGGAAGCCGTAGAGGGGCAGGAATGGGGGGTGGAGGAAGGGCCCTTGCAGAAGCAGATGCCACCTACTGCGCCCTGGTGGGGACCCAAGTGCCAGAGGCTCGGGCTTCGGAAAGCAGGGCAGGGAGGTCTGGTGTTGGAGGGGAAAGCCGGAGGCCCAAGGGCTGCAGTTGCTGTTGCTGCGTCTGCACTCACGGAAGTGTTTGTAACTTTTCCCTGGATTTTTGTCTTTGAAGACATAACATTTGGAGCAGTTTTTTAAAAAGGTATTTGAGATCCCATGAAGAGAACACACATGTTTGTTCTACAGAGGATAAACGTAACCAACACATGTGGAAATCCCTTTAGAATGGGGTAGAGAGTACACTTGTGCACCTCGCTATCCTGGGCCTGAGATTCAGGTGTGTTTTATTCACATAGGCAAAATTGTGTGAAAGCAGCATGTTGAGTTGTGGCTGGGTACCTGCTCCAGCCCAGGGTGGCAGTAGCTGCAAGCCAGCAGCTCACTGTGATGCCTCAGTGTAAGGCACCCATGACCCCAGGCTCCAGGCTGTAAAGAACACTGTGTGTGTGTGCACATGCGTGTACAAAGATTTATTTTATTTATTTGAAAGTCAGGATTAGAGGGAGAGACAGAAAGAGAGAGAGAGAGAGAGAGAGAGAGAGAGAGAGATCTACTGGTTCACTCCCCAGATGGCTGTGATGGCTGGGGCTGGGCCATGCTGAAGGCAGGAGTCAGGAATTTCTTCCAGGTCTCCTATGTAGGCAACAGGGGCACAAGCACTTGGGCCATCCTCCGATGCTTTCCCAGGCCCATTAGCGGAGAGCTAGATTGGAAATGGACCAGCTGGGACTCGGACCGGTGCTGATGCAGGATGCCACTACTGCAGGTGGAGGTTTTATTCACTGGACCACAACTCCAGCCCCAACTTTATATAATAAAGAGATTTATTTGTTTACTTGAAAGGCAGAGTTATAGACATAGAGAAGTATAGACAGAGATATCATCCATCCACTGGTTTATTTGCCAAATGGCCAAAATAGTCAGAACTGGGCCAGCCGGAAGCTGTGGGTCTGGAGCTTCTTCAGGGGTCTCCCATGTTGATGGCAGGGGTACAAACACTTGGGCCATCATCCTCTGCTTTCCCAGGTGCATTAGCAGGAAGCCAGATTAGAAGTGGGGTAGCCAGGACTTAAACCAGTGCCCATATGGGATGCCGGTGTCTTAGGTGGTGGCCTAACCTTTTACACCACAGTGCTAGCTCTAAGAACAAAGGAAGCACTGATATGAGTTCTGGGGCCTAAGGGGGTGGCTGTGGGACACTGCCATTCAGATAGGGCTCTAGGAGAGCTTACCTGGAGCTGGTAGTTGAAACAGACTTTGGAGGAATGGGAGGATTTAGACAGGTAGAGAAGGGGTGGGTAAGGACAGCACTGACGACACAGCAGCAGAGATAAGACTCTAGGGGTCAGATGTGTGTGGTGGGCGGGCTTAGCTGGTGGATAGGAAGGTGGGCAACAAGGCCGTTTCGAGGAAAGGTTTGCATGCTGGTGCCAGCCACGTGTAGTTTGATTGACAGTGCAGTTTTGTGCTTAGTTCCGCATGAGGCCATTTCATCTCCTATTTCTTAAAACGAACGGTCAAGCACAAATCTGAGTAAGCCATGCAGTTCTTAAGACAGCCCAGCAGAACCAAGAAGAAAGGCCTCTGTGGAGACATCTTCCATTCCGAGAACCAGCCTGTGGGTCCTGCAAGCCTGTGGCAGGGGCTTGTGCACCTGTCTTGGCTTACATTATTTCATTGACACTCCCACCCCCACTGAATCCCCACTTAAAGAGGTTGGGAGGCTTAAAGGACCCTGTGGGAAACACTCAGACTTTGTTTTTCTAAAAACTTTATTCTTTATAAAAATACTTATTTGCTCTTTTTTTTTTTCCACTCAGACTTTCTGAAACATGAACATTTCCTGGCTTAGTGGTTTTTAATTTGAGGATAACAGAAATTATACGTATATATTCTCTAGTACCTGCAGTTGGGGAAGACTTCAGGCCTTTGCCCACCCATTTTGCTCAACCACAAGCTCCCCGAAAGCCATGAAAAGTGAGTTGTGTCCCCTGCTGCCCGGTTTCTGGCCACGGGCTCAGTGCTATGGGGGCACTTGGTGGGCTTCCCAAAAGTGGGAATGCTGCAGGCTAGGCTCTGGCAGCTCAGCCAACAGAGACCTGGTTGGCTTCCGGCAGCTGCTGGTCGCATGCGTGGGCGTTTGGGGCTTCCTGAGGCTGCCCTGTTCTCCGTGTTTGGTGACCGACGTCTTCTCACAGGCGTTGACTTTTGGATGTTGTGTGTTGCCCAAAGAGATTTTACAGGCACGTTTTCAGTCCAGTCCGGCGGCTCTCTTGATGCCTTGAGTTCCCAGGTTGCTTTGGTGAAAGAGAGAGACTGAATTTTTGGAAGTGCCTGTAGAGTTGGGTTTTGGGGTGGTCTTTCCTGTGAAGCCTCATGAGGGAGAAGCTGGCCTCTGAGGCAGGAAGGGCAGTGAGCAGCCCCTTCCCTGCCCACACCCAGCACCTGGGCTGCAGGGCTGCAGGGCTGCAGAGCTGCAGCTGGAGGTGGGTGAGGAGCCAGAGGAGGGCTCTCCCCTCCATTGCTGCCCATCCCTGCCTGCGAGGGCCTGGGAAGTGCTGTACAGTCCCTTGGTGTCCTGGCTCGGCCTCTGAGCCTGTAAAACTGCTTGGAGACCCCAAGAATGCACACGCTCCCCCTTTATTTGTAGATTGTTTTTTTAATGAAGGCACCTGGTCCCCTTATGCTCCGGGCGCCTCCGAGGGCCCAGGGATGAGGTAGTGGAGGAGAACAGAGGCCTGCTGGGGGCTGTTTAGCCGGAGCGATTCCAGGGCTGCTGTTAGCTGCCCCTCCAACCCCCAACACCTGGGCCGGCTGCATTGCTCCCAGGTTCTTAGGAAAGATAGTATCCTGCCTGTGAGGCCTGAGATCTAGACACTTCCAGCGCTCAGGCAGAGTGGACCAAGTGGACCTAATGTGTATGTCTCCTGGGGTTCTCACTTCTGTGCATTGTGCAGCATGTTCCCATTGGCAGAGAGAATCAGTGACCTTCCCATAGTTGCCAGTGAATGAACAGAGCTGGGCTGTGAACTGTCCCATCTGACTCCCAGGCCCACGCCCTGCCACAGCCTACCCCAGCCCACCCAGGGCTGCCTAACACTGCTCTTAGGGCAGGAACTTTTGGGCTGGGAGTGTGTGGGGCCCACCTGGTCCCTGGAGTTTTCCCTGCTGCAGGTACCTGTGACTATATCCCTGGATTGTACTTCCCTAGGGTAGGCGTGTCTCTTCCCCCATCCCATTACAGTGCAAGTGCAAAGCTCTGGGGGTCACACAAGGCTCCTACAGCTGTATTTATGCCAGCTGTGTTTATGTGGCAGACCCTCTGACTCTCTTTTGGGGGATGAAGAGATAGAGGGCCAGAGCAGAGAGGGACCTGCTGAGGCCACAAGATTGGACACAGTTTGTTCTCAGATGTTTGAGTGCTGGCACCATGCCTGGCTTGTCACTTAGCTTATTTTAATATTTTTTTATTTACCTATTTGAGAGGCACACACATCTGCCTTCAACAGCCAGAGCGTGGAGTTGGAAACCCAATCCAGGACTCCCTTGTGGATGGCAGCCACCCAGCCACTTAGATCACCCTGGGAGCCATTCCTGCTGCCCCCTGGGGTGTGTATTAGCAGAAAGCTGGAATCATGAGTTCAGCCAGGGCTCAATCCCAGGCATAGTGATCTGAGAATGGATGTCTCAGGCAGTGTTCTAACTACTAAGCCAAAGACCCATCCCTAGCATGTCACTTAGATGTTGGTGGCATGGTCCTTCTGTGCATGGAAGATGACTCAGGTCCTGGGTTAGGGGCCAGGCCTATACCTGCTTGTCACAGCAGTCCCTGTGGCCTAGCTCTGGTCTCAGCAGCAGTTGTGTTGAAGGGTTCTTGCTCACCCCCTCTCATGCTCTTAGCCTCCTCTCGCTTTCTCCCACAGAGCCTCCTCCAGCCTGCGGAGCTCCTGCTGCCCTTACTCAGTCAAAGCCTGGAGATGTCAGGTGGGGTAGGGTAGGCATCTCTGGGGGCAGATCCCAGGCATTGGGTAGTGGGGGCTGGTGGGTAAGTGGCCCAGCCCTGCCAGCCAAGGTGCAGTTCTAGGAGGCACCTGCAGGCTGGGGGAACCCTGACAAAATGAAGCCCCCATTGCCTGTACCCATGACCTCAGTAACCCCCTTACAGTATGACCTTTTCTCCTTCTTGTCTTTCTCTTCCTACCCCTCACTCCTACCTGCTGAGATTCCTCCCCACTAAGCTATACAGGCCCAGAATCAGGAAGACCTAAGCTAAGGAGCGCCCTCGGCTGTCCCTGCCCTAGCTCTTTGCAGGGTGAAGGGCCCTTGAGAGCACCCCAGCCCTGCCATGTTAGTGTGGGAAACCAAGGCTGAGCCAGGGACTGACTCGTCCATAGTCTCTTAGCACTAGGGCAGGACTAGAACACAGCGCTGTGGACCCCAGACTCAGATCCTGAACGACACACAGATCCTTGCCTGCCCCCGGGCTTGGGGGCTTGGTGGCAGGAGGGGAAATGTGAGCTATAATGTGCTGCACACCTGTTATATGCCAAGCCCCTCATCTTGTGGTCTACATTAGGGATGTGGAAGTAAGCTTCCACGAATAGACATTGTCTGTAACCCCAGGAATGCTCTCTTGCTCCTAAACGTCTTTACTGTGTCCTGTGTCTGAAAGTCCACTGTTAGAAGTTCGCACCTTTGAAAGGAGGCAGGTGCTCATCAGAGTCATGCCCTGGCATTCTGGCTGGGTAAAAGGTGCCTGCTGTTAGGTGCACATCGTTTCAGAACAGTGGGTGTTAAGGGCTCAGCCAACAGTCCTAGAAGGAATGGGTGTTGAGGGATGAGTTTGGGAAGGAAAACTTAGACCTCTAGGAAGAGAAAGAGGAAGGTACGTTGGGAAGGATGGAGAGAAAGGAAGCGCGTGAGCATGTGGAAGCAGGCAGAAGGAGCGAGGCTCTAGGAAGCTGGGGGATCTGATTCTGACGCAGGCACTGGAGAGAGGACAGCAGGCATCTGAGGCATCCAGAGACTCTGAAACCCACTCAGCACCAGCGCCTTTGGGCAGAGCGCTCAGCCCAGCAAGGAAGATAGGGTACAGCAGGGGTGACTGTGGGAGGGCAAGAGCCTTGGTGCCGTATTCTATGACTGATGTGAAGATTATGGCCACCCCTGCCCATCACTCAGGATCCTGGAGCTTGGATGTCAGCCTGAGAGAAACTCCATCCGAATCCAACAGGACTGTGGCTTCGCAGACTCTGTGACTCCTGTTGAATGGTCAGGGGTTCATCTCCAAAGGGCCGGAGCACATTACTGGGGATCCTGAGGTTGTATTGTGAGAAGAGCTACTGCAGCTCTGCTGACCCTCCACTCTCCTCCCTGCTTCTTCTTGTTCTCTCCTCCTCTGTCACGGGTGTGATTGAGGGCAGAAGCCAGGGCTTCTTTGTCGCTCCCCCTCTTCGTGGAGGAACGACACAGAACCCTGCGCTGTTCTTTCGTCTGCTCGGCCCTTCCCGGGTTTGCTGCTGGTTCTTCCCGGGTTGGCTACCGTCCCTCCCACCTCCGTGGAAGGGCGGTTCCCCCTGCCACTTTCCCCACTTCCGCGGGGGAGCGGCACACCGCCAGCCGGCTCTCTCGGGGGCTGCACAGATGTTCCTTCAGATAGATGTTCCTGGTGCATGTTGTCTCTCTCCTCCTTTATAGTCCTCTTCCACCAATCCCAACTCTGCTACCCACACGCCGAGTACGCTGCTCTCCTCCAATCAGGAGCAGGTCCCACAGTCTATTGGTTGAACTGGAGGCAGCTGTGTAGAAGCTGTTTCCTCCTCTCCCAGCGCCATATTGTGGGAGAGCAGATGCATAGAATAAGTCTTAATTCCAGTAACTTAGTCTAGTCCGAGTTGCTCCCAGTTGCTCCCCACACTTCTTGACCTTGGGGACAGGATCAAGTGCACAGGAGGTCCTCAGGGAGATGCTGGCTGACTGTGTGCAGCTGCTTGCTCTGGTCCTGGAGGGGCTCACGGTTCCCTGTGCTCCGACCCAGACATCAGCCTCAGTCACAACCTGTGTGTCCCTACCTCAAGTCACACTCAATGACCATTTAGAATTTGTAGCCTCTGAAAGAGTCAAGCAGAACAGGAAAGAAAACAGGTGCTTTGATGCAGGTGGACAGGCAGTTCCACTTGATTAGGTAGCATCTGCAGTTGATTAAGCAGCACTGTCAGGCTCCAGCACCACAAACCAGGTTCCAAGGGTTCCCTCAGAAAGCAGACGAGGCATGGCATCTCGAGGGCCTGACTGATGAGCTCATACTGTTACAGTGATCCCTTTCTGTGGGAATCTGACATCCAGGGCTGGAGAGAGCAGTCCCTACTCCACATGTACCATTCTTTTTTTTTTTTTTTTAAAGATTTATTTATTTGAAAGTCAGAATTACATAGAGAGAGAAGGAATGACACACACACACACACACACACACACAGAGGTCTTCCATCTGCTGGTTCACTCCCCAGATGGCCAAAATGGATGGAACTGTGCTGATCTGAAGCCAGGAGCCAGGAACTTCTTCCAGGTCTCCCACATGGGTGCAGGGGACCAAAGACTTGGGCCATCTTCTACTGCTTTCCCAGGCCATAGCAGAGAGCTGGATTGGAAGTGGAGCAGCCAGGACTTGAACTGGCATCCACATGGGATGCTGGCACTGCAGGTGGTGGCTTTACCCACTATGCCACAGCACCAGCCACCCCCCCCATTCTTTTCTTAGGTCTTGGGCCCCGATTTTGTATCTTGGAGGTGTGATCAATGCTTATTTGAATCTGATCATAGTCTTGTTATAATAATTAACAAAGTGATGGCCAAATGTTCTGAGAATTGGAGGAACCATTATTAGGCACATTGGTATTTATTTTGTAATTAGGGCTAGGAGAAATGTCCGATTAAAGACTTTCTAAGTTCTATGACCAGCTGCCCCAACCATAGATGGAGCAGCAATGAGATAGCATCACATTGCTTACCTGCTCAGTGTTAGGGACACGGTAGGGATTCACTCAGAAATCATGAAGTGGATAGATGAATGCACAGCCTCAGTCAAGAGCAAAACAGAATCCAAGCACTGTGACTTCTGAGGGTTGCCTCTGTGACTTCAGCTCCTTTAAAGCATCAGTGTTTGCTGGGGGTAGACATCTGTGTCATTGCAGAACTGTACTTTGTTTAAATTTCCCTTGGGACAGAGTGGCTTCAGTTGGAAATACTTGTATAGAACAAGAGATGTGGTGAAACCTGACAAGTCCCCAACTCCCAAGTCCTGTAAAATGCAGAGTGCCCTGGGGGACAGGAGATGGTGTGAAACAGTGGGGAATCTGAAGCTTTGGAGCCTGGTAGCACCAGGTTCAGATCCCACTGTTTTGCTGTGTGACTTCAGATATGTCTCTTAATCTCTTGGATCTCAGTTTCCTAATCTGTGTAGTGGGGCAGTTCAGTACCCTCATGGGAAGACTGAAGATGGCATGAGCAGGTACTCCAGTGCCTGGCTGTGGGAGGTCACAGTTGAACTAAATACAATTGCCCCTCCCTCAGGACAGCTCCCAGGGGAAGAGTAAATACAGAGCAATGGGCAGCAAGGGTGACATCACAGTCAGACGCATCTGTGAAAGGGGGCATGTGGATATACAGCCTGGCTGAGTGCCAGTTTGTCTGTCAGTGGCACCTCTGCCCAAAGGGTGCCAACTTCCTTGTGTGGATAGTGCTTTACAGTGAGAACAGCACAGTCACACGTGGTCTCAGGTAAGCTTCTTTGAATTCCTGTTAGGCAGCAGTCTCAGTGATTACTAACCCAACTTACAGATAAGAAAACTGAGGTGCAGATAACCCAACTTACAGATAAGAAAACTGAGAAGGGAATGGTGTTGAGACATGGGTTGAGATAGAGCCAGAACCTTGGTCTTTCAGCTTCCTGTCTGAGGGATCAGGACTCAGCCTCAAGCGTCTATGGTGCTTTGGGCCCCTTTCCAAAGAGTCCTTGGTAGAGAGCAGTGGAGCCTTTCATCTTCAGGCAATGTTATCTGGCAAACCCCCTTATTCCTTGGCTAGTGTCACCTCCCTGTGGCCCAGTCAGGTGCAATTTTTAGAGATAAGAATTTTTTTGACAGGCAGAGTGGACACAGAGAGAGAGACAGAGAGAAAGGTCTTCCTTTTCTGTTGGTTCACTCTCCAATGGAAGCTGCAGCCGGTGCACTGCGGCCGGCGCACCGCGCTGATCCAATGGCAGGAGCCAGGAGCCAGGTGCTTCTCCTGGTCTCCCATGGGGTGCAGGGCCCAAGCACCTGGGCCATCCTCCACTGCACTCCCAGGCCATAGCAGAGAGCTGAACTGGAAGAGGAGCAACCGGGACAGAATCTGGTGCCCCGACCGGGACTAGAACCCAGAGTGCTGGCGCCACAGGCGGAGGATTAGCCTATTGAGCTGCAGCGCTGGCCTAGAGATAAGATTTTATGAGCAGGGCCCGGTTATGCCCAAATGCACTGGGTATCCCTTGCCTGTTGTCTGCCCCTGAGGTTGAAGCATATGGTAACTGTGTTCATCCTCATAGGCTCCTGGGGAGCAGAGCTGTTGCAGGTCTCACATTGGCTGGGAAGGCCACCCATGGACAGGCACTGATGATCAGGGACATGGAGCTACCAATGCATGGATCACCATTCAGGAGCTCTGTCTTGGCAGAAAAGCTGTTATGTCTTCCACCTTGAAAATCTGAGCATTCTGCTGGGCAGACACGACAGTGACGCTGATGGGATGGCTATGTGGTGACAGCAGAGGAGGAGGTAGAGAGAATAGGTGTTCTGAGATGGGCATGAGCATGGAGCCTGGGTTTATCTGGTAGGTATGTGACCCTCAAGCCCCTATTTCCTCACTTGTAAATTCTGTATAATAATGACTTGCATCTCCCTCAGATGGTATTGAGATGATATGAAATATTTGTAAATGGTGTGATGTAATAATTTGTACATGGCACATGCTCTGTCCCTGTTCACTTTTGTTATCTGCCTCTGTTCATTCATTCACTCAATGCAGGTTGCATCTAATCACACCAGCAGCTGTATGAGGCCCCAGCAGTTACAACCACAACAGTCACTAAATCATCACTTACCTGAAAGGGCCTTTTGAGTACCAGTTCCTCCTCTGTGGTTCCCTTGAGAGTGACCAGCGTCAGGTGCTGGACACTGTTTCCTGGGCACCCCCATCTGTCACTCATACTTTACTCTTGCCCGACCCATCCCACTCAGGAGATCTGAAAAAGCAAGCCCCAGACAATGCTCGAATTAGTATTTATAGCCAATACTTACCCAATATTATCTATGTGTATAGAGGCATTTCATATAAAACAATTTTAAAGGTTCTGTGAACATTCTGTGTATTTGATTTCCATGATTGGAGCCCTAGGGGTATTTTTTGAGAATATTTTATGTAAAAGAGATGAATGATAACTGTTTACCCTCAGCTGGTAACCATAGAGATGAAACTTTGCCAGATCAAAGTATGAAGGTAATTAACTCTGCAAATTATAGTTGTTGTACTTGTGCACAAAGACACATGACTTCACTCAGGCTAAGCAGCAAGGAAAAACCTCTGCAGGGAGGGAGAGGATTGGCGAGGGCTGAGTCGCAGCACCACGTGCCCTGGCCCTACCAAGAGAGGGGCCCTAGAGAGGGCTGGGGTCTGACCCAAGGCTTTAGCCTCCATTGCTCTCTCAGTCCAGTGTATCTCGATTCTTTGGTCCTTACTGCTGCCATCCCCTTGATCTCTTTTTTGTCCCACCAGGCTACAACTCATGGGTGTGGGCCCTGGAATGATCAGACATGCCCGGGTGCTGTGTACCTGCTCAGGAACAAGTGGCCATCTTCTCCCCTTAACATAATTTGCATTCACTCCTCCTCCCCTCTTTAACATGGACTAGGAGGATTGTCTCATCCTGTGGAGAGTGCTAAGCAGCGGAGCTTCGGGCCCTTGTTTAGCTAGAGTGACCCTCCTCGGTGCCTTCCCCCATGTCCATTCTGCTGTCTTTTTGGCGGAGTGACCATCCCAGCAAGGTCCCCCTTTCCTTCCACTCTGAGTTCACTGAAAGCTTTGGGTCATCAGGTGTCCCTGTGGCAGCTGCCAGGAGACCCGGGGCCTTTCTTGCAGTGTAGTTTTATGTGTTAGTTGGAGATACATTTGACAGTAGGCTGAAATGGGCTCTGCCACCTGCCAGCTGTGTGGCCTGGGGCGAGTTACTTAATATCTGCATGACTTAGTACTTGCTTGAAGGAAGAGGAAATCGTAGGTCTATTGCGAGGAGATAGTGCATGTTGGCGTCCCTGGCCCTGTGCCCAGTTCACTGGGACTGTGCTGTCATTAGCCCCAGTCTGTAAAGGGAAACCGGAGGACACCACGTGTGAGTGACTTGCCCAGGGTCATGCTTAGCCTTGTGTGGTTGTTTGGAGGATTAGAGAAGTTAGTGCAGTTAAAGCTCAGAGAGTAGTGCCAGGCACATTGGCTGTATTGGTATCCATAGCTCAGTCTGGATTCAGTACAGGGAACAGGACCCAAATTACAGAGTTGAGCAAGAGGGGATTTGAAGCAGGGAATGAGGTGTCTTAAGGGCTGAAGGAGTGTGTCACTGATGGGTCCCTGGAGGGATTCCAGGTTAGAGTGACCTGCTTCTGTCTCGCCTCTGACACTGGGATTAAGAGCTCAAGACTCATTTTTGGAGCTGGGATCCAGACACTAGGAAGCTGGAATTGATGCAGTGTTGCTGGTGCAGCCACGAGGAAGCTGCAAATGCTGGATCCAGCTGCTCATGACCAACACAGCCTAGAGAGATGAGACGGTGGGCTCCACCTTCCTTCTGCTCCCCAGATCTGCTGGGATGCAGCCAATGGCTGGAATCTGGGTCACACCCTAAACCTTAGCTGCAAAAGTGTCTAGAAAGTATGTGCAGCTTTCCCACCTACCCAACTAACCGCAGAGTAGAGTGGAGATCAAGAGAAGCACCCAGAGGATCCAGTGCAAAGTGTTACCCATTGGGATGATGGAACCTGCTCAGAGTATTGATGCGATTGAGAGTCTTGTACACATACCTTGGCAGCCTAGCCTTGGGCTGTAGGGGACCTTACAGATTTTATCAGCCCCTGTAAAGCATGTGAAGGGGTGCCTTTCTGTGTCGGGGCCTCCCTTATCCATCGTGTCTCATCCCACCACATTGAGGACATCTTTACTCCCTCCAGCACACTGCCTGTGTCAGGAGCTTGCGTCACTCTGACTCATACCCACATGCTCACCCAGCCAGCTGCCATGCCCATGGCTGCTGCAGGGGCCCACGCCTGTCCCTTCAGCCTCCTGGCCAGGTCTCCATCCTATCTCTGAGATGAGCAGCAATAGCTGCCTTGTCCTCTAGGCCACTGCCCACCTGGCAGTCTGCACATCTTCTTGAAGTACCAGCAGGACCTTGCTACTCCCTCCACTGCTTCCCCCTCCTCAGTGGCTCCCTGGCTTTCAGGTGGCCCATGCTGTGGGTCTGACCCCAGTACCTCTGTGCCCAGTGCTTCCAGTCTCACAGCCTACTGGCTTCATCCACTCCTGCTTCTGTGGTTCCCCAAACACACCTGTACCCAAGCGTCTGGCCTCCTCTATTCCTCCTTGCCCACCTTCCTGCTGACTCTGGGACCTTGGCGTAATGCCTTGAGGCTGCCTCCCAGTGGAATCCTCGCTGATCTACCACAGGGTCCCCTTTCCTACTCCTTCCATATTCCTCTGCCATCCAATATGACCTGCTCCTCCAGCACAGAAGAGGATTCCAGAACTTCCTCTTCTCCCTCTGCCATCCCTGTGCACCGGGTCTGTCAGTGTCAGCCACTCCCATGTAAGGAACCTGTTCTCCTCTGACATGTGCCCCCATCTGGGCTTGTGCTTCTGCTGAGGGGCCCTTGGGTATGCGGCTCCGATAGGGCTGCAGAAGGCATCTATAGGTAGAATCAGGCCTCCGATGCCTGGAATTCGCAGCCCAGGAGGAAGGTAAGACAAGTCCAAGTGGCAGTCAGAGAGCAAAGGTCAGAGAGCCAAGGTCAGTGCTGTAAGCCAGGACTGGAAAGTGCAACAGGGCTCCCATGGCTGGGGGGACCAGGAAGGCAGAAGAGGTGGCTTTGAGGAGCCCCTGAGGGCTGGGTGGGATCAGGCCTCTGCAGAGCTCATCCACCCAAGGAGGCCATCTCCCAGTCTCCGTACTGCCTGGCAGCCAGCAGTGTACACAAGTACAATCTCTAGGTACCGCACCCTCCCCTGCATAATTCTACCTCCTTGGGTTGTGTTTTTCCCCTGTTACTTTCTGCAGGCAGTACTCAAGTCCCCTGAATTCTTGCGCTGCTCTGTTGATTTGTGAACACAGTGGACAGGCTTCCACTTCTTGCTTCCCTCCTTGCTCACTTTCCTCCTCACAGTGCCAGCTGAATTGAGAGAGACCTCCCTCCTCCGTGGGAGGAAGCAGAAGGGAGCAGGGCCCCCTGGAATTGGCCTCAGGCAGGAGGGAGCTGTGGAGTGCTTCCCAGGTAGCAGGCATGAAAGGAGCGCCTGTCTGAGTTTCTGCCCTCCGCCCAGCATTTTTCCATAGCCCTTCCCACCACGCACGTATGATTGATCTCACTGGCTATCCTTTCATGGTGTGAGTCCCTACCCCAGCCTGTTTGTAAGCACCAAGGGGTCAGGAATTCTCACATTGTCTTCACTGCTACGTCCCCAGTGCCCAGCACAAGGGC